GCAGATTTGCAGATTGATTGAGGCTACAAATCTGCGAATCTGCGTTTTCTCGAGGAAACGCAGATTTCAAGTCTGCGAATCTGCGAAACCTCGAGAAAACGCAGATTCGCAGATTTGCAGATTTGCACGCCCCAACAAATCTGGTAATCTGCGTTTCTGGAGGTTTCGCAGATTCGCAGATTTGCAGATTGGTTGGGGGCTACAAATCTGCGAATCTGCGTTTTCTCGAGGTTTCGTAGATTCGCAGATTTGCAGATTGGTTGGGGGCTACAAATCTGCGACTCTGCGTTTTTTCAAGGTTTCGCAGATTCGCAGATTTGCAGATTGGTTGTGGGCTACAAATCTGCGAATCTGCGTTTTTTCAAGGTTTCGCAGATTCGCAGATTTGCAGATTGGTTAGGGGCTACAAATCTGCGAATCTGCGAATCCGCGTTTCTCGAGGTTTCGCAGATTTGCAGATTGGGGCCACAAATCTGCGAATCTGCGAATTGGTGACCTGAGACGTGGGGTTTTGGAGGGAAGGGGGGGTTACCATATATATATATATAACCCACTTGTAAGCCCCTTAAGTACCCTATAGGGATATAATTAGGTTATAAGTACGGTTATAAACACTAAACCCTAAACCCTCAACCCTAAACCTTAACCCTAACCCTATAAACCCCAACCCCTAATAGGGTTATAAATCTTATAATTGGGTTACTAAGTACCATGAACCTCCAAGTAAGCATGGTGTCTTAGCTGGGATATGGGTTCAACCAACTCCTCGGCTCGGGGTTTAGGGTTTAGGGTTTTAGGGTTTACAGTTTGGGGTTTAGGGTTAAGGGTTTCAGGTTTAGGGTCTAGGGTTGAGGGGCCCCACAGACTCACAAGCCCTGATCCGAAGTTAAGCTTCAAAACGTGGGTTTTATTCGGGGCTTGGTGTCTGCAGAGTTTAGGGTTCGAGGTTCAGCATGTAGGGCGCCGGCCTCCCTGCGACGACCCAAAAATCGAGACCCTAAACTCTTACTTGGAGTCTTCTGGGTCCATATACAGGTAGGGTTATACATAGGGCAACTCTGGTTACAGCCTTATTTCGGGTACCTGTAACCCTGCTTATATGGTCAGTTCTCAAAAGTATGGTCATTTTGTTTGCACCCTTGTACTAGGGGCCGCCTATTTAAAACCCGAAGCCCAAAAGGGACCAGAATTAAGAGAAGTGACCATATGAGCGACCGCCAAAACTCTAGACGTCGGGCCTTGGTCGCGCGCTTTTCAGTGTTCCTCGTCGCTTTACAATGTTGCCCGTCGCTTTACAGGGTTTTTGACACTTCGGCATGCAAATGTCCTACCAAGATAAGACCACAAATACCATAGCTTTGACCCTTGCTCACATGGGTGGTTGTCAAAATTATGATCCTTTTTGGGGTACCCTACATATTAGGTGCCATATTATAATGGGGATCCAAAAAGGGACCACAATTTTGACAACCACCCATATGTACCCATGAACCTCCAAGACCCTAAACCCTAAACCCTAAACCCGTAAGTAGCTGGGTGACTCGGCATGTTCCCGTGGAGGCAGGCTTCTATCGCAAAATCAGACAGCTGCTTCTGCATCCAAGAACTTGAAAACGCCAAAGACGAACCCCAGACTTGCTCTTGGCCTCCGAACTGGTTTAGGAACTTAGGGGTTTAGGGCTTTTACTGTTTAGGGTTTAGGGTTTAGTAGGATCCATCCATCCTGAACTCGAGTGCATCATCACCACCGACATGCCCCACCAGCCACATGGCCGTCGCTGTCCAGCGGGGTCAGGTCGCGGAGGATTTGGCAGGAAGAGCCTCGTATCCGCTGCCCGAAAGCCTGCGGCCAACAGCCAGAACCACCACGGCCAGGAAACAGATGGTGAAGCCGGCAAACTTGGTTGCGGTTGCGACAACGGAGATGGTGGCAAGCAGGTACCTTGTCGAGCTAGCATCGTCCCCCTTGTCGGTTGTGAGGCAGAGGGCCACGGCTGCTCCATCTTCCAAAAAGTCTGCGACGACCGTTACCAGGACCTGGCTTGGACCCTTACGCCCTGTAAACATATTCTGATCTTCTTAAACCCAGTCAGAAACACAGAGAATGTCCAAAAGGCTAAACCCTAAACCCTAAACCCTAAGCCCTAGGCCCGAAACTGTAAACCCTAAACCCTAAACCCTAAACCCTGAACCCTAAACCCTAAACCCTAAACCCTATACCCTAAACCCTAAACCCCAAACCCCAAACCCCAAACCCCAAACCCTAAACCCTAAACCCTAAACCCTAAACCCTAAACCCTAAACCCTAAACCCAATCAGAAGCACAAAAAATGCCCCAAAAGGCCAACCCAGGGACGAGCCCTCTCAGAATGCCTCCGATCCGATCGGGTGCCAGTGCTTGAAATGAGAGGTACAACGCAGCTCCATAGGTCGCAATGAACCTTCTAGGGTTTAGGGTTTAGGGTTTAGGGTTTAGGGTTAAGGGTTTAGGGTTTAGGGTTTAGGGCGGAATGAACCTTACGGGTTCTTCTCTTAGGGTAGTTACATGGTCCCTTCATGAGGGCCCTCAAAATGGGACACCCGATATACCCCTGTTATACCAGAGACCAAACTTCAGAACCCTGTAAATAAGGCGGTAAGGGACCATACGAGGGGCACATATAGCTACCCTAAGATCTTCGTTCGGGAAGGCACCCTATATCCACCTTAAAGGGTTTGTAGACAGGGTTTAAGGTGTAGGGTTTAGTGTTTAGGCTCTGTAAGAGAAGGGACAAGAGGACGTCGAAGAGTTCATAGGATTTGTACCAGAACCGGCCCGCATCTCCATATGAGTCGACAAGTGCCAGCGTGGAATTCGCAGTGCGTGGGAATGTCGTATCCAGGGGCTTCGCAGGAGACAACTGTGATCCAAAACAGTTCAACACCACCAAAAAAACCGCAGTCAATGACCACAGGACCAGCAAAGAGGTGGAGGACACTGGCATGCAAGCGCAGTTGGTCATGATGACTCGAGATTCCCGATTCCAAATCGGTGTAAATTGCGTTTGCAGAATGCGGTACATGATTTCGCTCTTGCTTCTCCTGTCCCTGCCAATTGAACTGTGGCTGTGTCCATGACATGCTACGGATTTGGTTTCCGAGCTCTTTGCACTCGAGCCGCGACAAACTTGCAAGGAAACGACTTCAAGACATGAGCGGAGTCCTCGCGATAAGAAAACCCAAACCTACACCCTTATAAACCCAACAACCCTACCCCCCAACCCTCAACCCTAATCGCTACACCCTAAATCCTAAACCCTATAAACCCTGTTCCCACAGCCAGGCGTATGGCTGCAAGTCATCAGTTCTCAAGTGCGCAGATGTCTGCCCCTAGCGCGCTGATGAGCTCTAAGCCCGGCAGCCGCAATTCCAAGTTTACAGGGTTTAGGGTTTGCAGGGTTGAGGGTGTAGGGTGTAGGGTTTGAGGTTAAGGTTTGGGGTTCGGGACCCTGAGCACCAAGCCGGCAGAAGGCTTGTATTCAAGCACGGAGAGTCTGTCGAAGCCGGCCTAAACTCCATAGATTCGAGAGCATCGCCCCCACGGAGCCCTACACCCTGGGCCCTACTCAACCGCAAACCCTATAAACCGTCTAAGCCCTAAACCCCTACACCCAAAACCCTAAATCCTGTAAACCCTAAACCCTAAACCCTAAACCCTAAACCGCCTAAACCCTAAACCCTAAACCCTATAAACCCGGGCCCTACGCCAGACGAGGCCAATCAGGGCTGGGGTCGTGCATAGGGCGATGCAAGGCCAACGCCAACTAACCCCCCCCCCCCCCCCTATTGGGAATCGCATCTTCATTGAGCAGCATGGTCCGTCTGTAGGAGTTGGTAGCCCAGTAACCATATTACAATAAGGGCACCCTTTTTTCGGGTTGGCTACTTTATAAGGGAACCTTGAACCTAAAAAAGGGAAAATGGTACCACTGGGCTACCAAGAGGGAGGGTCCGATCCGGCCAGGAGACAGACAGACTTGGCGATTCTCCTTTCAAGGGGTCGCCAAGCAAGCTGTCTCCTGGCAGCAGCACGGGCCCTGCGGCCCTGTAGGCCCTAAAGAGCCTTGAGGAAGTTCTACGAATAACTACGCTGTCTGAAGCTATGTCGGGCAGTCTTGTCAACCGTATGCAGACGCGTGCCAGCTCGCTGAAGAGAGCCGGGAGTCGCGTTACCACAGGTGCATCTCCGCCAAATTCACATAGCTGTCGAAGGATGACGACGTGGGAGTTGTGGGTTTCTCCGCGAGGACCAGCAGTAGAGAGAGGGCAGCGCGAACTTCTCTCGGTCTCGTAGCAAAGTTGCAGCAAGAAACACGCCCTCATGACAGAAAATCAAGTATGGGTCGCAAGCGCATGGCATACGAGAATGGCTTGGAACATGTCCTGCGGCGAAGCACGAGAATCTATCTCCCGTTCTGTGCAAGCCTCTTTGCGCTGGTGTCATAGCCTGTCTCGCAGTAGCTGATTGCGCCACTGTAGAGGATGACCGGTGGGTTGAGCTGAGCACTCAGCATCGAGTAGAAGAGCTCGAAAGCCCTCTCCCTCTCCCCGCCCTCCTCACAAGAGAGGATGCTGGCGCCATAGCCTAGGATGGCCCTTAAACCCCTCTGAAACAAATATCCCGAATCAGCCCAATAAGGGAAGATATGTAGGGGTAGTCTCCTAAACTCGGGGCCCTTTTTGAGGGTACGCGTTACAAGGCGGCACCCTTTTAAAAAGGGACCCCCAAAGGGACCCTAATTTAGCGAACTACCCAGATGAAACATATCTACGAATTGCTTCAGAACCCCCCCCCCAAAAAAACACCAAACATTCTTCCTTGTAAGGGCAAAATCGGGATAAGCATTTGGAAGCTTGTTGACAGGGCCTACCGAGCAGCTGATGACGTCGGGATCGATTTGGGCTCTTTGAAGGGAGCCGAAGAGTCCAATCGCCAACTCCCACTTCGCTACCTTCTCACATGAGCCTCGGTTGTAGGGGTTTAGAGGTATAGGGGTTTAGGGGTTTAGGGGTTTAGGGGTTTAGGGGTTTAGGGGTTTAGGGGTTTAGACACCGGAAACTGTGGCCTAGGGTTTAGGGTTTGCAGTATTCTCACATGAGCCTCGGCTGCAAGCACCAGAAACTGGGGTTTAGGGTCTGGGGTTTAGTCGGGTTTATAGGCCTGATAGGGCTTATAGGGATTACAGGGTTTATAGGGTTTGTAGGGTTTACAGGTTTAAAGGGCTTATAGGGCTTTGGGGCTTGTTGATGATGTAGAGGATTAAGGGCAATACACAATTAAGAATAACAACTATGTTCCAACCTACTCAAGAAACCCCTCGGACCAAAGACTCCTAAAGAAGGTTCTTTTCAACAATGACTTCTAGGCAAATAAAGCAACACATCACTAAACCCAATAAACCTTCAGCCAACTTAAATCTTCAAGAGTTCGACAAAACCCACAACCTGCCACCTTCCCAGCTACTTGAAGGTTCATGGGTAAAACCCTAAGCCCTAAACCCTAAACCCTAGACCCTAGACCCTAGACCCTAGACCCTAGACCCTAAACCCTAAACCCGGCCTAGCTTCATTTTACGCAGGGCGCAAGATTTAGCTATCAACACAGGCACCTCCCTCCAATTACTTTTCCTAGACTGGAGAATGGCTTTCGATAAAGTCGACCACACCGCCATGGCCATTGCGCTAGGCAGGCTCGGAGTACAACGCCACTATGCAGACATCATAATAGACATTTACACAGATCCGACCTTCACGGTAAAAAGGTATGCACGGCGACGCGACCACGGCTACACCGCATACGGGTATACGGCAAGGATGTCCTCTCAGCCCCTATCTATTTATCATGGTTATGACTGTACTATTCCACGACATCGACACTAGGTTATTACGCCATGGAGTCCCCACGAACTCGTGGTCAGTAGGTAAGCCAATTTACGATATAGAGTATGCTGACGACACGTTGCTCCTCGCAGTTACACCGCCGCAACTTGAAGAACTACTACGTACGGTACAGGTAGAGGCTTCATTGTACGGCATGGTTCTCAACCCGGAAAAAACGGAGTTATTAATCCGCCCAGAATCCCCAGCAACAATCTCATTTGTAGATGGTACGACAGTTTCGTGTACACCGCAATCAAAATACCTGGGGGCACAAATCTCCTGGAACGCAGTAGCCAATACAGCAATCCAGGCACATAAAGTTTTGGCGAAAGCCGCTTATATGAAACTACAGCCCTTATGGCGAAGTAGAGTCAACGTGCAGTAGTGGTATCCACCCTAGCCTAATGTATGGCCTAGATTCTCTGACACTTGAAATCGGGCATCTAAAAACAATCGACGCGTGGTACCACCAGCATTTGCGACGCTGTATAGGGATAAAGGCCTCATATTTCTCACACATCACAAATAGAACAGTATTGGAAAGAGCCCATAAGCCAGCAGTTCCCTCCCAGAAGCTCCATTCATCATGTGGTTTTTTCTCCTGCAATTAAGGATAGGGTCAAGTTCACTAAAGGCATTCGGAGAGGGCACCCTCAACGATACTGGTTGGAAGTAGTAGAGGAATCAGCCTTGATAGCCTTCCGCGATTATCTCACTTCTACCTCACAAGTACACCGCTCCGACCTCTTAGGCCTAAAGCAGTACCTAACCAAGCACCCAGAGTATGCCCTGCATCTGGCACAGCCTACGCGCCAGCCAAATCTTTTTCAGAGACACGGTAAGAGTCTGGGATGCGCATGGCAGCCGTAAAAAAAAACCCTGCCTAGGAGCTGATGGCAGCACTGAAGCTGATGACGTCGGGAGCCAACCGTGCGCCAGGTAAGGCGTTGAAGAGATGTAAGGCAAGCTGCCACTGCCCAGCTTTTTCACCTGGGTCTTAAAGCAATAAGCTAGGAGAAACAAGGGCAGGGTTTAGGATACAGGGTACATAGGGTACTTAGGGTACTTGGGGTACTTAGGGGACTTAGGTTACTTAGGGTAGCCCCCCCCCCCCCCTTTTTGAAACTGGGCTTTCATGAGGGAACCTGGCCCTAACACTGGGCATAAGGGCCCCATTGGTCCCAGTCGCAGGAGCTGATGGTCGTGTTGTAGCAGATCACGTTGGGGCTCAGCTGCGCGCCAGAGATGGACCCGAAGAGTTTCCTAGACCCATGAGTAGCCTAGGAAAAAAGAGGGTGCCCTTTCTGGTTCAAAGGGGCTTATAGGGAACCTAAACCCTAAAAAAAAGGGAACAAGGGCCTACTCTGGGTCCTAGGTTCTAGGGCCATCTCCCAGCGCATGCCCTTCTCACAGAGCTGATGGCCTCGGTGGGCAAGGAGCTTTGATGACAACCAAGGGCACCATGGTTTTCCTGGCTGCCCCCCCCCCCCCCCTCTTCGGTAATGAGGGAATGAGGTACCCTATGTCCCCCTTTATGTACCCCCTTTAAGGGCTTATATAGGGTACCTAATTCCCGCATTCCCTACGAAGAACCAGCTTTTTTTTTGTTTTTTGTGTGTTGTGTGTGTGTGTGTGTGTGTGTGTGTGTGTGTGTGTGTGTGTGTGTGTGTGCGTGGTGCGTGCGTGGCGTGCGTGCGTGGGTGTGTGTGCGGTGTGTGTGTGCGTGTGTGCGTGTGGTGCGTGTGTCGTGTGGGCGGTGTGTGTGTGTGGCGTGTGTGGGGTGTGTGGTGTGTGGTGTGTGTGTGTGTGTGTGTGTGTGTCTGTGTGTCTGTGTGTCTGTGTGTGTGTGTGTGTGTGTGTCTGTGTCTGTGTGTGTGTGTGTGTGTGCGTGGGTGCGTGTGTGCGTGCGTGCGTGCGTGCGTGAGTGCGTGCGTGGTGTGTGCGTGCGTGCGTGCGTGCGCGTGCGTGCGCGTGGTGCGCGTGCGTGCGTGTGCGTGCGTGCGTGCGTGTGTGCGGGGCGTGCGTGGGCGTGCGTGGGCGTGCGTGGCGTGCGTGGGCGTGCGTGGGCGTGCGTGGGCGTGCGTGGGCGTGCGTGCGTGCGTGCGAGCGTGCGAGCGTGCGAGCGTGCGAGCGTGCGAGCGTG